ATTAGGATTATAGAGCAGAAAGCAAAGTGCTAAAGTGTCGTGTCTCGGAAACCACAGGTCTGCTCAGACTGACCAGCACCAAGCACAGGGCTTCTCCAACTCCTCCTACGCGATGTCCAAAGTGGGCGTGACTGTCATGTCCATCATACAGCAGAGAGAACTGGACGCCAAGGGGGCGGAGGATATTGTGGTCAATGCTGTAAGTCTTATATTTTTCTGTCCTGCTTTTAGTTACCTTAGTAAATTACTTACTTACTTACTACCCGTCACCCCATCTGGCGTTTAGGGCATCAACATAATATGATCTCCATCTCTGTCTGTTTTGGCCCATCTTGGTCAACGTCCCCCACGAATGGTTCCAGGACTTTATTTCAGACTCTACTGTGCGTCTCCACGTCACTTTGGGTGTTGAGAGTGGATGGTTGATGGGTACTCTGGAGTCATTTTCTCCTTCTTTCCCATCAAACGTCTCGCTTCCTCAAAATTACAAAGTTCTGACATTTTTGGCGGTTTTTGAATTACGAAGACTATGAAGTCAGAAACCAATGTTCTATAATATGCTCTAGCACGATCGTAAGATTATTCGGGAACATTATCAAAGATAGTACATAACAAGACGGGCCACTCAGCCAAAAAAGTGTCTGCCGGAAGTCCGCTCTTTGCTTCAGATGGCGCTGCAGTCTGTTTTGAAGCCCTCTTTCGTTTTTCCAGAAGAAGAATAGGAATAGCACCTCCTTGCTTGCGCAGATCGACTGCTGTTCATCAGCAGTTCGGGTTCGTTCAGTGCGGAGTTTTTAACATTTTAAATATATTTTAATGACCTCTCGCCTTTCATTCTAAAGTCAAATTAAACGAAGAAAACAATCACCCTTTCCTCCGGAAGAGGTTTTTTGTCTGCGTAACCATTTAAAAAAAGCGTTCTTTCGAAATTTATTTTAAAAACTTGCTAGTTTCACTCTGATTTTTCAAAATCAAATAGGGTAACTCTGTTCGCAAAGGGTGCGCATTTGCGAAGAGGGCGCCACCGAAATTTGAGGACACTTTTTTAATTGGCTCAAAGAGAGGAGTGGCCCATCTTGTTATGTACTATCTTTGACATTATCAAGATATTCAAAGAATTGCATTACAAAAAAGCTTGACGTGTTGGGAAACAAAAAATCTTTGACGTCAAATTTCTCAAAACTAAGTACTGAGCAGATATAACTTTGTAATGCTGAGGTAGCGATCTGTCGTGCTTATATCTCTTTCTTTTCTTCGTATGTTACTCTCTTGTAACACCTCTCATACAGACTTCAACATAAGTGAAGGACCACCTTGACAGAGAGCCCCGATTCTTTAAAAATCCGAAAAAAGAAGACAAGGAATGATTCAAAACTGTTTGCTCCTAAAGCGTTAATGTGTTAACAATGCGTACTTCAAAGCTTGCTTAAGGGGAAAAACCACCACGTGCTGCACGGAAATCCTCGCGGATTTTTAGCCAAATATGCTTTTTAAAAATTGACTTTTGTCTGACACCACGGACTTTCCACAGTTAAAATTTCTGATGCACGCCATAAACGGACGTACGGTCTCGAACTGTGCTCATTTTGGTCGCAATATAAGTATAAGCCGTCGTTTGCGCAAAATCCAGAATCGCATCAACATGCTACCAAGACGAAAGCCGAGAGACTTCGAATTGATCATGCCAGAGCTATTGCATGGCCGCAGGATGGAGTTGGAGCCCGAGAAGCTGCCAGAAGGCTTGCAGTGTCACACTCTGTCATTGTCAGCCTGAGGCAGCGCCATCAAGCCACTGGATGAGTCTAAGAACGCTCACGTGCAGATCGACCCAAGAAGACCGCTCAGACTGTTTGCAAGTGGTCGTTAACTTATGTTGAAGTCTATATGACCTACTTGTGTTGCATATGCCATAAAACTCTTACTAAACCTAAAGCTAAAAGCAATCTGTATGACCTACTTGTGTTGCATATGCCATAAAACTCTTACTAAAGCTAAAGCTAAAAGCAATGTGGAGAGGGTTCCTCTCTCAGCCCAGGCATGCCATACTGTACTATCTCTCCTTCCACACCTTATCTCTTCTGTCTTATTGTTGTGACGTTCCAGTGTTGCCCTGTACTATCTCTCTTTCCATACCTTATCTCATCTTATCTTATTGTTGTGACGTTCCGGTATTGCCCTGTACTATCTCTCTTTCCATACCTTATCTCATCTTATCTTATTGTTGTGACGTTCCAGTGTTGCCCTGTGCTACCTCTCTTTCCATACCTTATCTCATCTTATCTTATTGTTGTGACGTTCCAGTGTTGCCCGGGGTATGTGGACACAGACATGTCAAGTCACAGAGGCCCGCTCACTATTGACCAGGGTAAGACATTTCATTTTGTCGTCAAAAATATTGATGAGTGTGAGTGTATGTGCGTTTGTGTGCGCGCGCGCGCGCGCGTGTGTGTGTGTGCGAATGTGTGTGCGTCTCAGTGTGCATGCGTACGTGCGTGCGTGCGTGCGTTCGTGCGTGCGTTCGTGCGTGCGTGCGTGCGTGCGTGCGTGCGTGCGTGCGTGCGTGCGTGAGTGAGTGCGTGCGTATGTGTATGTATGTATGTGTGTTTTCTGATTTACATTTATTTCTTTGTTTTGTAGTTAATGATATTGAGTTTGCTTTCACGAGAAAAATGGAAAGCAAAAGAGGTTGGGTTGACTAAGAATAGTTTATTCAGTATCGAGAAAAGCTGTAGTTAAGATGAATGAATTGAAAAGACTAGGATGATTGATATAGGTTTTTAGAGCAGATCTGAGCAGAGTAGTGACTGACGAACTATATTGTGATCACTGATGTCTGTTAATTTCAGAGCTTGTTCTTGAAGAAAAAGAAAAAGTACTAAATTTATTTTTCCATGAACAGTATTATGTGTTTGTCTTTAGAAATACAGATATTCTTCCACTGTGATCGTGTTTGTAAGTTCTTTGAAATATTCAAAGTCAAAGTTTGTCCTTCTGTACTTTTTCTTGCTTTTGCGTAAAAACTTTCCTCATGTGACTCGTTTGTCCGTTTTTAAAGTTTGTCTTTTGAGAAACTGAGCATTGGAATTATTATTGCTTTGTTTGTTAGAATTTATAATGTTTACATTTTCTTCTACTGCATTTTTATTTGGGGGGGGGGGGGGGGGGGGGTTCAATTTGTCTTTCAACACAGTGAGTACTCTGCCGTAAGCTGACAAAACGCCATTTTTCATTTTGTAACCAACATTTTTATTTTAAAATCGAAAGCCTGATCAGTTACCCTACTTGTTTGAAAAAAAAAATCAAATTGAAACTGTGACTAATTTTAAAAAATAGATTATTAGAATTCAAATTTCGGAATGGCTCTATAATTTTAAAAGGATTACACAGACCAAAAAAACCCTCCTTTTCTCGAAACTGTTCCAAAGAAAAAAAGACGTTTTATCAGCTTACGGCAGTAGATATACTGTACCTTGTTTTGTAATAGATAAATGTCTTGTTGTCTGTCTCATTGCCTGAAGTGGGTGAGTGATAGATATTTCTAAGTTTGTCTCTCGCATCTCACCACTCTGTGCGAAGTATTTGCTGCTTGTCCTGAGTCCTTGCAGTACTCTTAAAAAGTGAGGTACAACTCATCTGTATATAATTTTTTAAAAGATATTTTGTCACTTCTCCTTTTTAGTGCCGAGAAATGTAAAGATGTTGCCACCTTATATTATGTTTTTTCTTCTCTTCCAGGGGCAGTAACTCCGACATACTGCGCTCTCCTCCCGCAAAATGTGCACAGCCCCCGAGGGAAGTTCATCAGGAACAAAAAGATTGCCCAATGGAAGATGTAAAATTTCGGCCTTTTGAACGTTGTTTTTGTACAAAGATGGTCTTAGGATTTTCTTAAAATCAGGCTTTACTAGGGGTAGAAATTTATTAAGGAGAAACAGAGGACTGGGAAGTACAAAATGTATACACATGGACCTACTGTGTAGTTCAGACCTAACAGTTTTTCTAGAAGGGGAAAATGTGAGGTATTGTTTTTTGTTTGTTTTGTTATTGTTAAAATTTTTATGGCACTTACTTGCAATACAAGTGGGTCATATCAGTACCAAAGATTAGAGGTGTCATTAGAGAGAGAGTAACATACAAAGAAAAGGAGGAGAGATGCGGATGATGCATATTTGAAGGAAAGAGGGACACCCACATTGTCAGGTTTTAGGAACTTGAGCAAAAAAAATAATTATAATGCGTTGTTATTAGCTTCCTGAGCCTATTCTTTTTTTTCTGGTTGATTTTCAATAAAACTAAAGAAAATGCCATAGATGTGCTGAACTTCAGTTTCTTTGATTTCTGTGTGTGTTTGACTGTCAAAATCTGAATATCTTGTTAAATAGGTCAAATGGTTCAAATGGGTTGGTACTGTTTGTAAAAAAAATTTTAAAAATTGTAGTACACTTCTCACATTGTTTTTTTGCAGGCCTGCAATACAGCAAAAAAATAATTGCGGTATACTTTTAATACATTTTTTCCCCAAGTGGATTGGAATATTACCAACTTTTATTTGTTGTTTGTTTGAACTTGTCTTATCTCTCAAGTGGGATAATATGGTCCTGGTACTACGTGGTTGAGCTTGAAATTTGTGGGGATGACCTAGAAAACACTGGCGATGAAATAGAAAATAGTGTGGATGATCTAGAAAATGCTGGGGATGATCGAGAAAATATCAGAGATGAGCTAGAAAATACTGGGGATGACCTAGAAAATGTTGGAGATGAGCTAGAATATACTAGAGAATATTTGGGATAAGCCAGAAAATATTGGAGATGGGCAAGAAAATACTGGCTAATTTTGGGGATGAGCTAGAAAACACTGGGAAAGATCTAAATAATACTGAGGAATACTGGGGATGAGCTAGGAAGTATTGGGGATGTGACAAAAAATACTGGGGATGAATTGTGAAATGTTGGGAATGAACTAGAAAATATTAGGGATGAGCTAGAAATATGTGGGAAGAGGTGAAAATTGTTAGTGATGTGCTCGAAAATACCGTGGTTGAGATAGAAAATAGTGGGGATGAGCTACAAAATTCTGGGGATGAACTAGAAAATAGTGTGGATGGTCTAAAAATGCGGGGGATGGTCTAAAAAATATCAGGGTTGAACTAGAAAACAAATATTAGGGTTGCCTAGAAAATGTTGGAGATGAGCTACAAAATATTGGAGAATATTTGGGATAAGCGAGAAAATATTGGGAACGGGCTAGAAAATACTGGCAAATTTGGTCGATCTACTAGAAAATACTGAGAATGATGTAGAAAATACTGAGGAATACCGTGGATGAGCTAGAAAATATTATAGCTGAGCAAGAAAGTACTGGGGATGAACTACAAAATATTAGGGTTGAGCTAGAAAATACTTTGGAACAGTGGGGAGGAGCAAGAAAATACTAGGGGTTGAGCTAGTAAATTTTAAAGCTGAGCTATAAAATATTGTAGAGGACCTAGAAAATACTGGGGATGATCTAGAAAATATCAGGGTTGCGCTAAAAAATACTGGGGATGAGCTAGCAAATATAAGGGTTGCCTAGAAAAATCATGTCGGAAATGAACTAGAAAATACATGGAAATATTTTGATAAGCCAGAAAATATCGGGGATAGCCAAGGAAATACTGGCATATTTTGGGGATCAGCTAGAAAATACTGGGAAAGATCTAAAAAATATTTAGGAATACTGGGGATGAGCTAAAAATATTTTTGATGAAATAAAAAATACCGGGGATAAGATAGAAAAGTCTTGGGAATATTGGGGATGAGCTAGAAAATATTAGAGTTGAGCAAGAAAGTACTAGGGATGAGCTATAAAATACAGGGGATGAACTACAAAATATTAGAGTTGAGCTAAAAAATACTGTGGAACAATGAGGAGGAGCTAGAAAATGCTGAGGATGAGCCAGAAATTCTTAAGGTTCAGCTAGAAAATACTGGGGATGAGCAGGAAAATATAAGTATTGGCCAGAAAAATAATGTTTGGGATGAACTAGAAAATACTGCGAAATGTTTTGATCAGCCAGAAAATAATTATTGAGGATGGGCAAAAAAATACTACATAGTAAATTTTGGGGATCAGCTAGAAAATACTGGGAATGATCTACAAAAATATTTAGGAATACTGGGGATGAGCTAGAAACTACTGGGGATGAGCTACAACATTTTACGGTTGAGCTATAAGATACTGGGGATGAGCTAGAAAATACTGGGGGTGAACTAGAAAATAGTGTGGTTGAAAAGAAAATCCTGGGAATGATCAACAAATATATCAGGGTTGGGTTAGAAAATACTGGTAATGAGCTAGAAAATATAAGGATTGCCTAAATAATGTTGGAGATGAACTAGAAAATACAGGGAAATATTTTGATTAGCCAGAAAATAATTATTGAGGATGGGCAAAAAAATACTAGTAAATTTTGGGGATCAGCTAGAAAATACTGGGAATGATCTAAAAACTACTTAGGAATACTGGGGATGAGCTAGAAACTACTGGGGATGAGCTAGAAAATTTTAAGGTTGAGCTATAAAATACTGCGGATTAGCTAAAAAATACTGGGGGTGAACTAGAAAATAGTGTGGATGAAAAAGAAAACCCTGGGAATGATCTACAAATATATCAGGGTTGGGTTAGAACATACTGGTAATGAGCTAGAAAATATAAGGATTGCTTAAATAATGTTGGAGGTGAGTTAGAAAATACCGGGAAATATTTTGATAAGCCAGAAAATATTGGGGAAGGGCAAAAAAAATACTAGAAAATTTTGAGGATCAGATAGAAAATACTGGGAATGATCTAGAAAATATTTCGGAATACTGGGGATAACCTAGAAAATACTGGGGATGAGCTAGAAAATATTTTTGAGGAAATAAGAAATACTGAGGATGAGATAAATAAGTCTGGGGAATATTGGGGATGAGCTACAAAATATTAGAGTTGAGCAAGAAAGTGTTGGGGATGAGCTATAAAACACTGGGGATGAACTACAAAATATTAGGGTTGGGCTAGAAAATACTGTGGAACTATGGAGATGAGCTAGAAAATACTGGGGATGAGCTAGAAAATTCTAAGGTTGAGCCATAAAATACTGTGGACGAGCTAGAAAATATTGAGGATGAGCTAGAAAATAATGTGGATGATCTAGAAAAACCTGGGGATGATCTAGAAAATATCAGGGTTGAGCTTAAAAATACCGGGGAAGAGCTGGAATAAAAGGGTTGCCTAGAAAAATAATGTTGGTGATGAGCTACAAAAATACTTGGAAATATTTTGATAAGCAGAAAAATTATTATTGAGGATGGGCAAAAAAATACTAGCAAACTTTGGGGATCAGCCAGAAAATACTGAGAATGATCTAAGAAATTCTAAGGAATACCGGGGATGAGCTAGAAAATACTTGGGATGAGCTAGAAAATATTATAGTTGAGCAAGAAAGTACTGGGGATGAGCTATAAAATTACTGGGGAGGATATAGAAAATATCAGGGTTGAGCTATAAATTACTGAGCATGAGCTAGGAAATGCTGGGGATGAATTAAAAAATAGTGTGGATGATCTAGAAAAAACTGGGGATGGTCTAGAAAATATCAAGGTTGAGCTTGAAAATACTGAGGATGAGCTAGAAAATATTAGGGTTGCCTAGAAAAATAATGCTGGAGATGAGCTAGAAAACATTAGGGAATATTTTGATAAGCCAGAAAAAACTGGTGATGGGTAAGAAAATACCGGCAAATTTTGGGGATCTGCTAGAAAACACTAAAAATACTGGGGATGAGATAGAAAAGTCAGAAGAATATTGGGGATGAGCTAGAAAGTACTGGGGATATGAAAACAAAATACTGAAGATGGGCTATAAAATGTGGGGATTGAACTAGAAAATATTAGGGATGAGCTAAAAAAATATTTGGGATAAGGTAAAAAATATTAGTGATGAGCTAAAAATAGTGGGGATGACCCTGAAAATGCTGGAGAGGATCTAGAAAATATCAGGGTTATACTACAAAATGTTGGGAATGACCTAGAAAATAATGAGGAATACAGGGATGAGCTAGAAAATACTTGGGATGAGCTAGAAAATATTAGGGTAAAGGAAGAAAATACTGGGGATCCGCTATAAAATACTGGGGATGAGTTAGAAAACGTTAGAATTGAGCTAGAAAATACTGTGGACAATGGGGATGAGCTTAAAAATACTGGGGATGAACTAGAAAATGTTATGATTGAGCAATAAATTACGGGGGATCAGCTAGAAAATATTGGGGATGAGCTAAAAAATATATGGGTTGAGCTGGAAAATGTTGGAAATGACCTAAAAATTACTGGGGAGTACTTGGGATAAGCCAAAAAATAATGGGGATGAGCTAAAAAATACTGGCAAATTTCGTCGATCAGCTAGAAAATACTGAGATTGATCTAGAAAATACTGAGGAATACCGGGGATGAGCTAGAAAAAAACTGGGGTCCTCTATAAAATACTGTGGATGAACTAGAAAAGATTAGGGTTGAGGCAAAAAATACCGTGGAACAATGGGGGTGAGCTAGAAAAGACCGGGTATGAGTTAGAAAACATTATTGTTGAGCTATGAAAATACTGGGGATGAACTAGAAAATAGTGTGGATGATCTAGAAAATATAAGGGTTTCCTGGAAAACGTTGGATATGAGCTAGAAAATGCTGGGAAATATTTGGGATAAGCGCGAAAATATTAGGGAAGGGCAAGGAATATTAGGGATCAGCTAGAAAATACCGGGAATGATCTAGAAAATACTTAGGAATGGTGGGGATAAGCTAGAAAATACTGGGGATGGAGCTAGAAAATACTGGGGATGAGGTAGAAAATACTGGGGAAGAGATAGAAAATATTAGGATTGAGCTAGAAAATACAGGGGATGAGCTAGAAACTATTTTTGATGAAATAAGAAATATTGGGGATGAGATAGAAAAGTCTGGGGAATATTGGGGATGAGCTAGAAAGTATTGGGGATGTGATGAAAGTAATGGGGATGAGCTAGAAAATGTTGGGATTGAACTAAACATATTTGGGATTAGCTTAAAAATATTTGGGATGGGGAGAAAAATATTAGTGATGAGCTAGAAAATACTGTGGTTGTGCTAAGAAATAGTGGAGATGAGCCTGAAAATGCTGCGGATGATCTAGAAAATATCAGGGTTGAGCTAGAAAATACTGGGAATGAGCTTAATAATATTGGGGATGAGCTAGAAAATATTAGGATTGAGCTAGAAAATGTTGGAGATGAGCTAGAAAATACTGTGACGG